AATTTGGAATTTCAGCACAAAGCTAGAAAAGACCAATATATATATATATATATATTGGAATGAGCACTGCAAAAAAATGGATGAGAGAAACTGAAAAGGGCACAAACCAGAGACCTTTTTGCCCTAATAAAGAAAACTCGAACAGTTTTCACTGCATGCAAAGAACCAAAAGGGGCAAAGACAAGAATAAAAATAGATGGAAGGAATACAATGAGAAATTGTATATGATTAGTAATTTCTTCAACCATGTAAGAAGCAGACACCTGAAGCAGACCAAGACAGATTGGAAGATGAGATAGCATGGGCATAGAAATAGTCAAAAGAGAAAAACCCCTGGAACTAATGGCAAACCATCAGAACTGCTTAAACCAGGACTAACAGCAGCAATTGCGTCAAAAAGCATGGGACGTCAATGAATGGCCAAAAGGTCTGGAAAGATCAGTGTTCATTCCAATCCCAAAGAAGGGTGACACTTGTTATTGTTCCATCTCGTGCACAGTAGCCCTGATATCATATCCCAGCAAAATTTTGTTGAAAATCATACAACAACAAATGGGCCAAGTATGAAAAAAGAGCTGCCTAACATAGAGGCTGGTTTTAGAAGAGGAAAAAGCACTTGAGACCACACTGCAAATCTTTGATGGATCATGGAACAAGCACATGAATTTGAAAGTAAGTTATATGTATGCTTTATCCAGTATAGCAAAGCTTTCAAATTCATTCAACATGAACAATTATGGAAGTACCTGAAAGAAATGGGTGTTCTAGTATATTTGATTTAATTAATAAAATTCCACAATAGCCAAGAAACCACTGTCAGAACAACTTCTGGAGACACAGACTGGTTCAAGAGTGGAAAAGGTGTGTGGAGGACTCTATTCTAACCTCAGTACTATTCAGTTTATATTCAGAGGCAGTTTTGAGGAATCTTAGCTTAGATGAATCAGAAACTGGAATAAAAATTGCTGGTAGTAACATTAACATTTTAAGATATGCAGATGGCACCACTCTAGTGGCAGAAAATGAAGAAGATATAAAACAACTTATCCTAAATGTCAAGGCAGAGAATGAAAAAGCTGATTGCAGCTAAACATCAAGAAGGCAAAAGTAATGACAACACATGGAAATGGCAACATTAAGATAACAGTCGACAACAAAGAAATTGAATCAGTCCAGGACTTTATTTTCCTTGGTTCCAAAATCAACTGAATGGGAGATTCTGAACCCCAAATGAAATGTAGAATATACTTGGGCACACTGCAGTGATTAGCACAGAAAAGATATGGAAAAGCAAGGACATCAGTCTTAATACCAAGTGATTGTGAAAGTTGGACAATAAAAAACATGGATAAAAGAAAATTAGAATTATGGGTTTGGAGATGGCTACTGTGCATATCTTGCACAGCAAAAATATTGAACAAGGAGATTTTAGACCTCATCAAACCACAAATATCACTGGAAGCTAAGATTACCAAGTTAAGACTGCCTCATTTTAGTCATGTCCTGCAATCAAATTGCTTAGCTAAATCAGGAATGGTTAGAGTTATTAGGAAATGAGGCTGGCAAAGAATGCGCTGGATTGATATCATCAAGCAAGAAACATTAAGCAAATTTGTAAAACATCAGAAAGAATGAAAAGAGCTAATCTATACATCTGAAAGTTGGATGAGACTGAACAGATGAAGACAGAGACAGATTTGTGTCTGGACAGAGGTCCATCTATTCCAGTCTCCCTTTTCCCCATGTTGGCTTCTACATGCCCTTGGCAGCCCACAGAGTATGAGGGCAAGAGTCTCTTTCCACTGTTGTTCCTATGCAACAGACATTTAAAGAAATACTGTTTCTGAACCTGACTGAGGGAGGGGACAATTTAAAACTGAAGAGCGGTAGGTGGGAGAAAAACGCTAAACTCTGTGTATTCTTCTTGCATCCACAAGCCCTCCTACTTTGCTCAAAGAGCTCATTTTCTCTTTGCCAGGCTCACCGATTATGAAAATAATAACTAGGGAAGGCAATTTGGAAGCAAAAGCTATGGGCTCTCAATGGAGAAGCATCATCATTCTTCCAGCAGGTGGTTCTGGACCTTGTCTTTAGACACAAATTATGTCACTACCATCTCACATAGTCTCCCATTCAAATCTCAAGCAACAGTGACAGAAGACTTTAAAGAAAAGTTTATACATGCAATATTCTTCTAATTTCATTGCTAAATTTTCTCCAGATCATCACCACCATCACCTCCTTGTCCAAAAATAGCGATTAGAAACAGTGCTAAGATAACATCAGTTACATACCCTGTAAGGACTGAATCCTTCCCGTTTAGTTCGCAAATAATTGGAGAGGTTTCCATATTTGCAGAATTCAACAATCACCATGAGGGGACCTGCAAAAGAGAAGCCAAGGAGGAAAGGAAGGAAGGGAATTGCACAGAAAGAGTCATGAATGCAGACATTGCCTTTTGGGGGGCAATCAGTTCATTGAGTTTAAGATTACCAATAATGGTGGTCAGCAACTCTGCAGAGTTTCAGACAACAAAACGATCAGCTTGGTAGGATCTTAATATCCAAAGCAAGTGTTTTACTACTGAATAGAGCACACACACCTGCACTATCAAAATCTGTGCAGGTGCAATATTTGACATCAGAATCTGTGCTTAATCAGCAGGATTTTGTAGCATTGCTTTTATTTTTCTCATTTGCCATTCAGTACTGATAAAGCATATTTACCATTCGGTTTGGTGCAAGCACCCAGGAGGTTTACCACGTTCAGATGATTTCCTATGTGAATGAGGATCTTCAGTTCCGACATGAGAGCCTTGTGCTCATTTGCAGTAGCTCCCTCTGAAACAAGTCTAGCTTCAGTTATACACATCAGTATTAGTGTTTCAACCATTCAACTATTTATATTTAAGTTTCAGATGAAAGGATTAAAAACTTCTACATTTTAAGCGGTGTAAACATAGTGAGAACTTAATTCATGCAGCATCCTGTTTTTAAGGCAGGTCTCTGCAACTACATACAACCTATTGAAGGGCATTTATTTATATGGACATTGTGCCAGCACAACAAAGTCTTTTCCCTACAACTATTTTATTCTTATATCAGAACCTTAAATGCACAAAAATGATGTGGAATTTACTTCTGAAAATAGAAGATTGCACTGGAAAACCACCCTAGCAACAAGATCTGTACTTGTAAAAGCAGCTTACCTGGTGATAGTTAGTTACTGCAGCACAAGTCAATAGAAATGAATGGAAAAATATAAGTAGCACACAGGGAGGACAAGATATTTAACTTGAACTAATAAAATTATTGACTTAAAATTTATTTTGACTACTTCTCATTATTATAGGTGGGCAGCCTGTAGTAACTACCATCAAGTAACTTTTTTACAAGTACAGAACTTAACATCATCTCAGGGCCAAGGTGCTAATCCAGTATAGCTTTTGGCCCAATTCCTGTGAATGGTAGAAAGTTACAGAGACAGGATGCTAAAGAGCTCCACCCACTTCCAGTTCTGATTCTGAATCTACCAACCACCACTGCTAATCCTCCTAATAGATTTTTCTTATGCATCAGTGACTCTTCACAGAAAAAAGTTTATGCTCCCATAACACATAATACTGCTATAATGATAAGTTCCTTAGACCTGAATGAGAGCACCATTACACTGAGACTATTGTGCTTGTCTTTACTGCAAATTTATAAGAAAAATAGGAAAATTTATAAACCTCAATAAATAATTAATTATGAATGCAATATCATGACTTTCTCAGTGCAAAGCATGTTTGTCCCTGGGCTACAACAACATTTAAAAAAAAAATCTTTACTTTAAACTTGTTTATTTTTAAATTAATTACTTTAATATTTAGAAATAAGGAGGAAGAAAAATCCAAGAGACCCACCCTCCAAAAAAAGTGGGGGAGAGACAAAACATATTAAAATATATTAAATATGTTTTTATGATCCTAGGCTAGTTTTTAAGCTTTTATTGGGCACTTCAGAAAGTGTTTAAAAGGGTTGCCTGTTAATCTTATTATGGTCGAAATGTAAAATGACCAAGGGGACACTTATGCATATGATATGGGCTTGACCCACTATTGTCCCATTTTGCTTTTCTGCTTCTAAGTTTGTTAATATGGTTTGGGTACCATATTAAATGTTCAGAATCACATTTAAAGTTGTGAATGAGATTCTGAATTATATACCAACACTTTGGAAACTATTATTATATGAAGCAGCATGTGGTCTAGCAAAAAATATTACTCTTTTATAAGGGAAGGAACACACCATCCTGGATTTACAGTCTTGGATTGATGATATGCAGTCACTTGTTGCTTATGAACTGGATCTCTATTGATATAATGGAAAGACTGATCAATATTATTCCGAGTGATTGAGGTTTAATGCTGTGTTTTAAAATGGAGCTGTTTTCCATACATATGGTAATAATATTGTGAAGCATACTGCTTCAGCCTAAGGCCATGGTAAATATATTATGACATCTCCATATACAGGCAGCATACAAATGGATGGATGTATAAATGAATTGAAACGGCTACTTCAAAATCTAGTTCCATATCAGTACTATTTATAAAGGCATCAAATTTCAGTTCAGATCTCTGTGACTCAGTAGCAATTTGCCACCATTTTTTAGCTCTCTCTAATTTCAAATCAAATCAATCATTTATTATGGCCATAAGACCAGTAGTCAAATATAAATAAAACAAATTATATAAACTAATATGTGCATACATACACACACATCTGTAAAAAAAGTTTGATTTAATTTCTGCTTTTTTTTTTATGTCTGTATCCAGGTGGTAGATTAGCAGAATAGAAGCTCAAAGTAGACCCCGAATTGCCCAACAGCTTGGAATTCTAACTATAAACTTTAAATTAAAATTTCAAGAGGGGTTTTTTTCTTCTGATACTCACTGAAGCAGATGGAATCAGAACTTCTTCCTGAGTCATAAACCTAGCAATGCTGGTAAACAGCATTCTGTTGTTTTAAACAACTGCTGTACAAAAGATGACACTTAAACCTGAGCAAGACCAGAGTGTTTTACTGAAGCAGCCTAATGTGGGGGTGCTGAATTCGAATATCTCTTATTTATTTTCAAAGACTGAAAACTGTATCTGAATTAGTGTGCAGATGATGCTAATATAATCCACACTATCCCAGATACGATTGTCAGTCACTGAAAATTATAGCACTATGATCACTTCTAATATACTAATATACAGCTCCTCACTCTTTCACGCAGAGTGAAATGATCCGAAAAGCGGACCTCGCACCTGCGGGAAAACACTAGGAAGAAGAAGAAGAGGAAGAAGAAGAAGACTCTTTCACGTAGAGGCTAGGCAGCCATCTGTCAGGGTTGCTTTAATGTGGATTTCTGCACTGAGCAGATTGGACTGGATTCTCTACATGGCTTCAACTCTATGATGAAATACTAGTGGATTTTGTAACAATAACAGCAGTAATGCAGGTAGACAAGATAATTCCTTCACAAAGAAGCACTCAGAACCCCCAGAAAAATTAGAAGTACTGCAGCAAGAAGAAAAGTAACAGTCTACTAACCCAGTCTACAGTAGTAAGAGTGGTAGTAGTAGTAACACTTTTCTAATTTCAGTGGAATAGCAACTACTTCTGTACAGTGGAGAGGGAATAGCTTTAAGACCAGATTCCCATTACTAAAAGGACCCTGATTCTGTTGTAACAGCTATTACTATATGCCTAGCCGTTTGAAATATTGCCCTTGCTTTTCCCTACCCTAATTCACACTGAGGTTAGTTTTAGAATCCCTACAGAGAATTAAAATAAATAGAGATGTAAAAGCTGCAATTTGAAATGTTAAGTTGATTAGAAAAATCTGTTAGTACTTTCAAGCGCCTTAAGCCTTTCTATAAAACGAGATTCTCCACAGCTATCAATGTTCCATTATAGTGCTTAGGGCTGAAACCATTAATCAGTTGTATTAACAGCCAAGTTACAAGTAAGATATTCTGTTCTGTTAATTAAAATATTAAAATCTCTTGTCTCCAACCGCCTTTCCTTCATGTTTCTTCTTTTTATTTTTAACCTGCCAGCAATTATTTTTGGTAGTTTTACAGCACATAAACCCTCAATGTACTCTATGCCCCATTTAGGATCCTGAAATGGTGTTTAAAAAAAGGATTCATCTTGTTCTCCTGCTCCTGAGCAAGCGTATCCAGCTAGACCAGAGTGTTTGACCTATGGCCCCAGAACTGCCAGACACCCTCAGGAACCATCTCTCCCTGTTGGCTGAAAATGAATGGCAGTTTCTCTCCATTCTGAGGTGGGAAATACTGGAAGTCCTAAAATAGGCATATAAATTCAAAACGATGACACTCCTCAAGTTGGCTAGTAATTTAGCACTTGGCCAATGGTAATCTACATTCACATTTTGGTTCAGAATCAGACAATGCTTATCAGGAATAGCACTCAGTCTGAGTGTTCTGTTCTCTCAGATCCTAGTACAGTGTGCCTGTCTCAGTGTTCTGGGTCATGAACACTATTTTGCCTTTTAGAAATGATGAAATATTTTGGAGTTCTTTAATGAAACATCCTTAGATCCTGAGTAAGCATTATCCAAACATCATCTACACGTAGTACTTATTTCAATTAATTCGTTATATTAGGTATTTATAAGTTGATTAGCTGGCTACAAGTGACTGCTTCCCAACCAATAATTGACAGCTCTGTTGGGGAAAAAGTTTAACAGGTATGAAAAGATGAACAGAGTTAAATGCCAAGAAATGGAATGTTCACAAAAGAAGATAGCCAAAGATTCTTCATTTCAATCCAATAAGATTAGATTTGTGGATTCTCCTGGTCAAAGCAAAGCTGAGCATTCGAGAAGTGATGAAGGATTGTTAAAATCATGGGAAAATTGTCTTCCAGAGACAATTAGTAACTTGATGGATGTTTCCAGATAGACAACCAATATTCTCATATTTATAGAATCCATTTATCTTGCCTACCTTTCAGCATTTTAACTGCCACCGTTTCACAGCTGTTACTTTTATTAATTCCAAATGCAGAGGCTTCCATTACTTTCCCAAAAGCTCCATGGCCCAGGACTTTACCTGAAAAATAAGTCAAAGGAGGATGCAAAGCAGGCTTTAAAAAAAACCCAGAATGCACTTGGAGGAACTTATATAACTATTCACAGTAACTTGAATGAGACCCAAACAAAACAGGAAATCAAGACAACAAAGAAATAAAGGTGTGAAAAGGAAGAGGAAATAATGACATTTTCACCATCTGTAGGTGGTGTTGCATTTTCAGAGTAAGAGTGAGGAGAGGAAGTGAGAAAGAGGCAGTGTCAACAAAGCAGAGGAAGGAAATCACTAGCTGAAGTGGGATATCATTTCTTGCTTTTGTGAACAAAATATGAGAAAAGTGAGGGCAACTCTTTGGATTAGACTGGACTAGAAAAGGATGGCACTTTAATAACTGCTATATCCACTTCCTGTGTACCTTTGGGGCAGATCCACCATGGATGTATGCATACTGCAATCTAGGACACAATGGATGCTTGGTTGGTTTTTGGGGCAACAAAAACTATAGATCCTAGGAGTAGCTATTACAGCACAACTCATCTTTGCAGTACATACCACTGTCAGCAATTAGAATCACCATGATTGCTGGCAAGTGTTTTACATCTATTCCTCTCTCATCAACAAACACAATGTTTCTGTGTACCTAATCGAAGTCTCTCCCGAGGGAACTCCCATTTGTTGGAATCATATGGCAGGTATTCGCACTGTTCTTCCAATGGGACTTCACTTGGATTCATAATAATGGAAAGGTAGCCTGTCTTGATATCAGCATGAGCAGGCTGCAACACAGAGAAAGCTACTAGATTGTGGTCACTTTGCAATGGCATATTGTTCAGTTTTCTTTGAATCCTGATCATTGATACTGGCTCTGCTTGTCTTAGCATAAAGAAAAATGGATGGCATTTGACATTCAGTTGCTCTATATACCATCTGCTCAGAAACTGATTCACCTTGAGAAACATTTTTTCCTATTAATCCAGGATAATACTGCACTTTCTCTCAATTAAAAAAAAATAACAGGATGTTTTTGTTGTTGAAGGCAAATGACAAAGTATCTGCTTAGCTAGGGGGCCCTACTTTGGTTCTCTTCCACAGAAAGGCCAACAATATTCAATCATGGCTGCCAGCCATTTTTTGTCCTGCTAAAAAGTAGATACTTTTTTGCCTCAAGGAAAAAAAAGCCTAACAACATTGAAATGGGACTACAGAAATGGTCAACCTTCCCCAACACTATGCCCAGTAAACATAGTAAAATATTCTGCCGATTTGAAGGTTGGGGTTGTTTATGATTCTGTTCACTACTATACCAAGTCAAGCTTGTTAGAGGCAAGATGGAAAAGAAGCCTTACTCTCTTAATATTACAGAAGATGAGGATCAAGAGAATCCAGAAGAAGATGGCGATGACCCCAGTTCCGATTAAGATTACAATTTCCACATTGGTCCTGTCATCTGAGCCTATAGGTGAGGAAGAATATGAACAAAAGAAAGAAAGATTACAACAGGCATATAACAAATCCAAGGATATATGAAGAGAGAGAAAAGGAGGAATTGTTGGGAATTTTCTATGTTTTCTTTTGGATGGGCTAATTAGGAATTACTTTTTAGAATCTAGATGATGGAGAATGAAATTTGTTTTACTGCCTCAGCATGGCAAAGGCCTTTCTTTCTTCCAAATGTTTACCTTTCTTCTCCCTCTACTTTCTTTCCAAATACACCTATCTCTCTATAAAATCAGAGGACTGAAATTAGTAATAGTACCTTCTACAGAGACACTGGCAGAAGAATTCACACAACCTTTAGCATTGCAGACACTACAGAGATAAAGACCAGCATCTTCTTCTCTCACCCTTTGGATACTCAGCCTCTGATTGGAATCTGCCAAGTCAATCCCTGAAACACGGAGGAAGACAAATGTGTTCAGTTATGATTAACAGTAGGTAAACCATCACCAGCCCCTTTTACCTTCATTCATGAATTTATACACTATTTCAGGCAGCTGACTCTAAGCAGTATACCGTTGCCCATTGTTGGACCATTATTTATTTGTTTCTTTGCTTATTTATTTATTTATTTATCAAATTTATATAGCTGCCCATCTCACGAATGTGACTCTGGGCAAAGTACAATAAAAACAGAACAATCAAAAATAAAACTTTAAAAACCATTAAACAATTAAAACATAAATATAACTAAAACCACAGGAGAGCGCCTTCAAGATCTTACATGCAATATAGTCATTTCATGGACTCCCTATTTCCACAGGATCGCTAAGCCTGCTGACAAAACCAAGTTTTAAGGGATTTCCGGAAAATCAGTAGAATTGGGGCCAATCTGACCTCGGGGGGGGGGAGATGATGTTTCACAGGGCAGGTGCCATGGCAGAGGAGCCTTGCCTCCTATGTCCCATCAGATGGAACTCCTTAGCAGACAGGATCCATAACACCCCCTTCCTGCTGAATCTGATGGGACAGGTAGATGTAACCGGGGGAGAGGTGATCCCTGAAATAACCTGGCCCCATGCCGTGTAAGGCTTTAAAGATCAAAAACAGCACCTTGAATTGAACCTGAAGCAAACTAGCAATCAGTTCAGCTCGTGGAGCAGAGATGTAACATGTGCAGTGCTAGGAGCGCACATAACTGCCTGTCCCACCACATTTTGCACCAGTTCAAGCTTCCAGATACTCTTCAAGGGCAGCCCCATGTAGACTGCATTACAATAGTCCATTTGGGATGTGACCAGAGCATGAACAACTGAGAGTACAGCCTTATTATTAGTAATAGTATTAATAGTAGTTGTATTAGTATTATCCTTATTATTGGCACTTGGACAGTTTTAAAGCGATATGTTTCCATATTGAAGTAGTATCTATAAAACACTAGCATTCATCCATTTGATGTAGTCAGGAAACAACTCACATGGAAGACGGAGTCTTTTTCAAGGTAATAGAAATATGCATGTAATAAATTGCATTCATAATGTGAGAGTTCATTCTCATATGGTCAGAGGAAGACAACCTGAAAAGAAATTTGTCCACTGCCAAAGCAAGAGACAAATGGAATCTGGACCTTGCATCCAAAAGAGAAAGCCTTTCCCAAACTTGGTGCAAATATATTTTCCATTTTGTCTAGGAAAGGCTAATTTAATATAGACAATACACCCAGCAAACACCAGGTTGGTGAATGCTGCTTTTATGCATGCAAATAAATTATTTGGATTGTTGCCCGTATTTCTAGTACAGACATTAATGTGTTTATGGGAAAGGGAAGATTCAAGGAAACTGAAGGAATAAAATCTGAGTTGCCTGTTTGTTGCTTGGAGAAATATGCACACACTTCATAATAATTTATATTTTTCTATTTGCTCAGGTCCAATGTACCAATTAAAGATGTTTTTTCTTTTGCATTGTAGTACAAACCTACAGGTATATCTGCAGCACTGTGTTGAAATACTGGAAGTATTAATTACAATCACTAGTGAGCTCAGTAGTCAAAGTTACTTTTTTATCATCACAATTATCCTGTGAGATAGGGCAATCACATACCTAGCAACTGATCCATGTCTTCCAAAGAACTTTATGACTAATGGAATTTGAATCAAGGACATGCTTGTACATGTTGAGGACCATGACCATGAGACTACTCTGTTGAAGCAAATGTAGCACCAGGTATATAAATCCTGAGTGGATTGAAACTTTCAAGCTTCTGCACCTCAAATCATAGCTGTGCAAGTATTCTGTTCATGCATGTCCCATTCCTTAAACCCATAGAATTAATCAGCCATACCTGAGACCTCTTCAACCAGCTTTTCGTCTTTATACCAGTTGATGTTTGGAATGTGTACACCATCCACTTTGCAGCGCATCTCTATAGAATCACTCACATTCACCAGGATGTTTGACAGGTTCTGTTTCAACCTGGGCACCTCTAAAGCTAAAGGAATAACATTAACAGAACAAAGATGAATTGCAAGAAATGTGAGAATAAATAACAGGTACTCTGTAGGGTGGGAGCAGAACTCTTCCTTGAGTTCAAGTATGTCACAAATTGCATAAAAATTAGAAAATAAAAAATGAACCTTGGCCATGGCAAGTCAATGGAAAGGTTGCTCTTATTCTGTAAAGCATTTGTGCCATTTCCAATATAGTATGTGATAAAAAGAGGCCAATTAAAATAACTTTCAGGTGATCAAGATCTTAATTTGTTTTGAAGGCCATAGAGACCTAACACTCCTAAACACTTAATCATAACAGGCTGGGTTCTTCTAGTTTCTTCTTTTTAAAATGTAAATTCTTCCTGCTAAACCAGCTATGACAGTAGCACCAACATGAATTGTGGTTAGTTAATAATCTGTATAGCATTTTTTCTAAAAATTAGAATATCTGGCTTATTTTAATTATCCACACATAATTCCCCTGGCACTGTTTCAATCTCAATGTGTAATTTTCCCCCTCCAAACTCCTGTGATTGCTTTTTTGGTGACTGTAGTTTCTGTGCACAACTGGCTTATGTGTGCTTCAATCTAGTAGTAACCTTATAATAGTTACCAATGCAATTGGTAAGAAAACAGAAGAACCTGTTTTATAATATTTCTTTCCCCTTATTTTCTCTTTTAACCAAAGAAATTTGCAGGCAGGAAATCTATGGTTGCTCTTTTTTTGTTGTGCACCTACCCAACTGCATAGCTATTAAAAAGGACACAATATTATTTCCAAAGCATGCATGCTTGCTCAGTTGAAATAAGCTAAACACAGCAGCATGAATGGATAGAGGAAATTAAGAAGTCATTGGACTCTACTGCAAGCCTGTTTCTGTATTACCCAACTTTAAAGAAAAGCAACATAAAACGGAAATTTCTTCTTCTTCCCTTGCAATTACTGCACTATAGCCTGTAGCATGTGCACATACTATAAATGCAAATGTTAAAATACATGCTGCTTACCTATCTCTCTCACATGGATAATATCCATTGATGATAATATAACACTAGATTTCTTTATAAGCATGGCAAATTGCACTGCTTTCATTGTTAGTGCATTTCTTAATACACTAAGAATATCTGTTGACTCACATCCTCTTAGTGTATGCTTTGACCAGGGTTCCCTCCTAAAATTAGGATCCGTAACCAACCTTGAGCTGTGACTTGGGTAAGCAGGGATTCTGGGTTGTCATTAACATTAGCAACCAAGCTATCGTGCTTAAGCAGTTAAATATGTTAGCATTGTGCTAGTGTTTAAGGAGAATAAATATCTGTTCACAGATCCACATAAAAACATAAGGCAGTGTGTGCATTTCTTTTTATGAAACAAGATTTGAATAAGAAATTTAATAAGTCTATTATCAAACAAGTCTCTTCAGAATAATTTGAATCCAAATGACTGCCAGTGTATTTTGGGAAACGGTGAGCTTCATTACTGCTAACTCTGGAAATTTAAGATCGCATCAAGTTCACAAAAGCACAAGACTTGCTTTGAAATAATGAGAGAGACATATACTTGGACAGCATTTTATTTGTCATTTCAGCCATTACTTCTTTCCTCAGCATATCTACTGCTATGAGGCCTCAAATTATTTCCATCAACAAAAATCCAATTCCATCTGCCTCAGGTTTCCAGGAATCATCTATGATCCATAAAGAAGTACTTGGAGAGAGATCTGTGACCCAAAGATTATTTCAGTTCAAAATAAATCTGATCGGTTAGAATTCTTAACAGTGTTACCCTTGTTTTGCAGTAGCTAGACATGCACCTTTCTATGCATCCTTCAGCATAACAAGGTTTTCCCTACAAACTTGACTAAGACTTTCTCAGCGGTCCTTACCATGAACAGAGATGTATCTTTTGTGGCAGTGTTTTTCACTGTTTTCTCTGTTTTGTACCTCACACACATAGTCTCCTTCATCTTCTAGAGAGATACTTGGGATGGTGAGGGTCAAAGCGGCATAATTGGAGTTAGGTTTGAAATGCAGTTCACCCTGCAGCTTCATTGCATAGTGGTGGACATTCTTGCAGTCCAGGACCAGAGGGTTGCCCTCTTCATAATTGAGTCTTGAGAGATTGAGCCGGTACCACTGCAAGTTCTCATAGGTATAGTTATCAGCGTTGCAGCTTAGTCTCAGGTCTTGTCCCTCAATGGGCTCCTCAGAAGGCTCTGACTCAATTTCAAAGCCATTCGGTATGGCTGCCAAGAAAGCAAGAAAAAAAAATTAATCACTAAAACAGAAGTGGGTATACTAATGCTAAAATGTCTGTTTCCAGTTCTGCTTATAGGATACTACTGTCTTTATGTGCTTTGGGCTATGTGTTTTAGGATTGTTACAAATCCTGAGCATTTTACCCATTTATTTCAATACATGGCTGACCAAGGCTCTCTAAAATTTGGGCCTCAAATATTCTGGTTGCAAGGCAACCTCAGCAGCTGTGGCTTTACTTTGTCCACACACACACACACACACACACACAAAGACAGAATTCAAATAAATGATCCATAAACAAGATTCTAATCTAGGCAATGGCAAGAGAATTAATATGATTACACAGCTACAGCTTCACACTGAAATAATGGCAAATTCTGTGTTCCTAAAGAGAAAACCATTGACAGGCATTATAATACAGATTAATAATTTAGATTAAAACCAAGTCCTACGATCTCACTGACTGAATTCATATAACATGCTTATCTTGAATCCTAATGATCAAAACACATTGATTGTATTCATGTAATACTCCATGCCCAAATGAATACATTTCATTTATGGCTCAACATGATTGTCTGTTCAGTTAAGACAAGGCTGGGTTTTCCACTGCACTCTGAATCAGAAATCATTCAATCACATTTTAGCTTCGTTTAGTAGTTGCGTGAACTGCTATCTGTCTGTCTCACATTTGTTCCATTAGTAAACAAAGATGTCTTCTAGAAGTCCTGTGGATTCAATGAGCAAAAAACGAAAAACTCAGCTTCTAAAATAATGGGAAGTACACAGATTCTATACAGAAGGTAGGGCACTAGGGGGTGCTACTGTACCAGAAACACTTGGGAATTGGCAATGCAAGCTTTTAAAGATAGCCTAGATTTGTCTTCGCAGAAGGGCAAATCTTCTATTTTCTTGCTCTAAAACATCTCTCAATTTGCTTCTCTACCTCAATCTACCTCTACCTTTCAACGTGTATATTTTATTAGAGATGTTTTCTTTACAGATAAAGTACTTTGAAATATAAACTCAAACTGTGCAAACTCAAATATACAGATTTACAAGGTGAAATTTTCACTTGTCCCAGGTTTAAAATTAATTTTTTAGCAAATTTTGGTTCTGTTAATGATTTGGAGTAGCAAATAATAAATACATGGTTTAACACTCTGCGTTGCTTAACTATGAAGACACAATACTAGACATACTTTGATAAACAATCTCAATTCAGTGATTTCCAAAGAGATTAATGAGTCTTTAAAATTCTTTGAATCCTTCAAATGTTTGTGACAGGTTGTTTAAGTGACTTTGTTTTAAGATACTCACTTGTTACATAAAAGTAGATCAGCCGTTCATCACGACCCACTTTATTGGAGGCTACACACTTATACATGACAGAAACATTGGCTTCTTGAATGATTAAGTTGCTGATGGTCTGGAAAAGAAAGAGAAGAACAATATGAATAGTATTTAACTTGGAGAGATTTAGGACTTTTGCCAGTCATTACACATTTTTAAGAAGAAGATTAATATTCTAGTAGCACCTCTTTCCTGAGGAAAATTCAATTTTCATGCCACTTCTCCCCACAATGTTCTAGTTTCTTTTATCTCTGCATTCAGTTTCATTGGTCATGTGCTCAGTATTAATATTCTCCAATAATCCCCTGCTGCTGAAATGCCGCTGTTGCACTACTTTCCTCAATGAAACTGCTTAAACAGGAAGTGGCAAAATTTATTTATGAACTTTTTCCTATTTACAGGGGACTAGCATGGAATAAGGTTTAATAGAGAAATCAGAAAATCAGAGTCTTTTCTTCCTAAGGAAAGATTAGAGATCAAACACTCTCATCACAACAGGAAAAAGAACATATGAATAATATGTGTTATCTGCTCTACTGACTTTTGCAGAATATACAGAGCAACATAGTTCAGTGGGCAAAACACTAATTTAAATTATAAATGTAATGGTTCAGGAAATATCAACATACTGTACGTTCTGCAAGTCCAACTAAATCAATATTAAATCTAATAAAATCTCCATGGCAGATAAACGTGAACAGCCACATTGGACGATGTGTCCCAGATACTGTAGCTGTATGAATACCCAGATGCAGATAGGTGCCCGAGTTTAGATAACAAGACAACTGTAATTAGTTAATAAGACAATGGAAGCTCACAATGCATAACCTGGATAGCTGTAGATTATTCTGTGCTTCTGAGGTAAAACTATGTTTCACTAATAAGGCAATATATAGTTATAACGTCTTCACTTTATTAAAGAAATGTGAAAAGTTTTTATTTGCTTTCTTTTTCATTATGTCTGTCAACAACCAAAATGTAGCCATTAGTGAATCGCAATTCCTGTCCAGCATTTCCCCAGCAACAAAAGGATAGCTCTACTGAGAAACATCATAGTTTGTACTAGCATCACCCAGATATGAAAGAGTCCAGAGAATAGTCAGGAAATACGTATTGTGAAACCTACTGAAGTTTTATTCCAGAAAGTATCTGGAGGGGAGATTGCCTGGAACAATTATAGGGGGGGAAATACTGTTTCCAAAAGAAAAGAGAGATTTATTTAAATTAATGTATTTAATGGTTAAAATAATTGCTATCCTGTTTTCAGCCTCCTATGACCCCATCAACAACTATACATAAATGATTACACACTCTCATAAACAACATAAGAAAGCAAAATATTTGCTTGACTTCACTGATTCTATATGCTTATTCAGTGTAGACCCAACCTTTTAATATTCTTTTATCCTTCCAGAAAAGATAATACCGAGTATTCAAAATTCTCAATAAATCTTTCCCAACTAACTCTGTAATGTATCAAACTTTATTTACTCTGGTAAATGTTGGTGTGAAGCAGTGTAAACAACAATTATTTTAATAGAGAAAACTTTTTAACTATTTTAATTATGTCATCTAATTCAACAGGTAAAGGCTTAAAAGGGCAGATGCCCACTATTTTCTTTTAATACCACAAACGTTTTTAATTAAAATATATATCCTGCCTTCTCATGAGAAGAACCCCAAAGCCTACCAGTAATAAAATACACGTAGGCCCCAGTTTAAAAATGAGTTCTGTTCCCAAGGTCTGTCCTTAAGTTGAATTTGTATGTAAGCTGGAACA